ATACATGACATTTATCACAAATTGTGCATCTATATTGGACAATAATAAAAGAGAATGCCCGTAATATTGTAATATACTTTTATGCCGTCCGGAATTCCTGTAATTCGTATTTATATATTTATTTGACATGAGTGTTTAACATATTTCGTAATCAATGAAGGGAGGGAATTGGCGCATGCAACCGAAATGCATATTATTTGGCTTTTATTCTCTCGCAAAACGTGACGAATATTTTTACGTTGAGTTATCGAATCATACACTTCGAGGGACACACATACCTCAACATTGCTAGACATTAGCAATGGGAGCGAAATCTTTTACTTGACTTTACAAAAGAAAATCTCTCGGAAATGTCTCTTCAATTCAGTTGTAATTTCTTTACTCTTCTCGTCGCGCTCGGTATTTACATCATATAAAATAAAGACATTTATCGCGTAACATCTACGGCTATAAAGAAAATGAAATATTCTTTGTCTTTTGATACTTCGGTGCAAGAATCAAAGAAACTATTTTATCGTCTGTAAATCTACTGCAAGAATTTAATTACGTCGTGTGATCAAAGGAAAGCTGATAAATAAGAATCAAATAGAAGAAGGATGTTATTAACGAACTGTTTCGAGATTGGATAATCTGCGAATAGCACTAACATGTAATATTTATGGGCGCAAAATTATATATATTATTTATTTATACCTGACAATTTGTAAAATTATAACCTAAACTAAAATAGACTAAGTAAATTGAATTTTTAATACACTTTTATGCTAAATGTGTATTTGCTTTTTATATGTTTAATTTAATGAGCGTAAACACAAAGATCTTAATATAATGACATTAAGACTGTTACATTTAGATAGTATTAGATAACAGTGATAATTCATATTAGTATAGTACTATGTTTCCTGCATGATGGATATTATTTGAAAATAAATTTTATTTTAGAAATTTTCTCTATATATATATATATATATATATATAAATAAATTTATTTTTTTCTTTTTAATAAATCCACTTGCTAGTGGCTTCGAATGCCTTTATTTAGGGAACTTATGTGAATAGAAATTGGCAACATTCCACATGCAGGCATTAGTTGATTAAAAGGAGCAGTTAGTCTACCTAAATATCAACAACGAAAAAATTTAATTAAAAATATAATCTGAATAAAACAAACAATATAAATTTGCGGAACAATTATATGTAAAAGATATTTTTAAAAATGTAGTATGACGCCAAAATTATAATTTATTTTACGCATATTTCAATTCTACATATTAATAATGTAAAAGAATATCTTAATAATATTCTAATTTTATGGATTAAAAATGTTTTCGTGTATAAAAAAATTTTTTTTTTTTTTTATATTTACACATACCTCAAATCTCATCGGCTCTGCGAATTACGAAAATTAGTTATATAGCAATATTTTTGAAAATATTGCAATTATATAATATTGAGTTTACTTTCGACCTTCGAGATTATGTTAAAATACAATGTCACAATGAAAGTCTGATGATTCTTCTCATTTAACAAATAATGTCACTTCAGGATGTCCAATAATGTATCCTGAAAGTAAATTGACAAGAATAAACGAATTGTGTGAAAGAGATAGCGAGAAAGTGTAAGCGTCAGTGAATACCATATGTTGTCTGAAAGATGTTTCGAATGAGTATGCCAAGGTATAACGAAGCGCGCAAGGTAATGAGTATAAATGTGTTTATTGCGCAAGCACGTTTTACCAAATAACAATGGAATACTGCATGCCTAGAAATACTCTCTAGCTCTATACTGTAGCTATTAAATTAGATTATTAGCGTAAAAGCAAAATGTCTATGTTTATATAAATTATAATGTAATAAATTCTCGAAATATATGAATGCTATTAAACAAACGTATGTGAAGTTTAACATATCTTTATTATTAACAGCACATGTATAAATTCTATGTAAATCGCACGTTTATCATAATTATACATGTGTAATGAAAGAAATTTTACGTTGTATATTAATAAAATATAAATCGTTATTTCTTCCTTTATCTTATTACTTTTATTTAAAAATTAAGCATTATTAGAAACTTTAACGCTAATTATACTCATTGTCGATCAATATTTTGTAAAATTGCGTAATAAGATCGATTATTTGTTTTCTTCTAATCTCGGCATTTATATATTGCGTTTTATAAACATGAAGAGAAATAATCGATCAACAAAAACAAATCTTTATGTATAGCTAAATAGCTGATTATTTTTATGAAATATGTCAAACATCAATATCTTGCGAGAGTTTTTAAATCATATATATTTTTAAATTATCTAGTTAAGCTATATATAAAGTTGAAATTTTGCGTCCTCTGCATTAATTCCATTCATTAATTTAGTTTACACAACTATTGGACTAAAACAAAAGTTCCTACAAACTTCAAAATTCAATCAGTTGTAACTTCGTTAAAAATAAAAAAAAATTTTAATTAAAAAAAAGATTTTAAAGCCCTTTATCTCTATATTTAAAAGGTCATTATGTCTTTTGAGTTTCTGTAAGTTTGGTAATTTATATATAGGAAACTACGAGCTGAATAAAATGGGAAATTTCCTTTTCATTCTGTATACCTGTCACGTGTCCAAAAAAACTTGCGAAAATTTTTGTCTTTCTAATGTGAAAGTTTAAAGTTTTCCCTACATGATAATCTTTTTTTTAATATTCCTAAGATTTTTTATTATTAATAATGGATTAGATAAGAAAAGACACTTGATTTTGACTCTGATTGCTCATAACTCCGTTAAAAGTTATTGTATCATAATATTCAAAAAACGGATTCTTAAAGTTGAATGCTCTATCAAATGGTCAATTTTTTTTATCAAATTTTTTTAAACATGTACACATGATACAAATGAAGTAGCGTTACTTTGGTTCCAATCCAATACATACACCAGTTTATTTTAGTTACATTTTTATTAATTCAATTGAAATGTTTTGTCATTAGTTTCTCGTGTATTCACTATCCGCTCTTTAAATTTGCACATTTGCAAACATCAAATATTTAAATAATGTTGTTTCAATTTAAAAATATTTTGTAAAGATATCTTTATTCTATAAGGTAAAAATAATTTAGGGAAATTTTCTTACCATGTTTATTGTATACACTGAGAAAAAAATGCTGTTGATTCAATTAAAGTCTGTATTACGGGCTGTCACTAACATAAGTGATTAATTCATGTATATTTTTATTGACACAAAGGCATAAATTATTATTTCAATAATCAAGTCTTTATATCAATAAAATATACGCATGAATTAATCACTTATGTTAGTGACAGCCCGTAACATAGACTTTAATTGAATCAACAGAATTTTTTTCTCAGTGTATCAATGTTAATTTATTTCCAAATATTTGCATTATCAATTTATAACGTAAACAAAATTACAGGTTTCTGTAACATTATTTTCAACGTTATCTAAGACTGATATATATCTTTACTCTACATTATTCGCAGATGATGTAAAATACATCCATACCCAGATAGACAAATACCTACACGGTATTAGTATGGTGAGCGTACGGCGTACTATGCGTGCCGATA